ATTTCGGCTCATTATCCCGACATGCTTGCGTCATTTGAATCCCGAAATATTCATGCCATTTTAGTTTCAGAATCTTGGCTAAAACCCTGTTTGCCTTCTACTTCTTACTTTTTGCCTGGGTTTCATCTAATCAGAAATGACCGCAGTAATAGAGGTGGTGGGGGCGTGGCGATCTATCTAAGATCCTACTTTCCATTTAAAATTGTTAGTTCGTCATGTCAACCGCCTCCTGGTGATTCTGCTGAGCATTTGCTAGTTGAGGTCTCCCTGTCTCAGAATAAAATCCTACTTGGAGTTTTCTACAGTCCCTCTCTTTCTATAAACTATTTTACTTCTTTTGAATCTCTTTTAGAATCACTAGTCCCTACATATAGTCATACTATTTTGATGGGTGACTTTAACACCTGTTTACTTAAAGGCGACAATCGGGCAATAAAACTTGAGTCTATAATTGAAGCGTGTAATATGCAAATCCTACCCCTTGCTGCTACTCACAAATTTCCTAACTGTACTCCTTCCCTTCTGGACTTAATTATCGTGTCATCTTCAAACCTAGTTTTCAAGCATGAACAGTGTCCTGCTGATGCATTCTCTTATCACGATTTACTTTTCCTTTCGTATAAACTACGCCCTCCTAAAATCAAACCTAAATTAGTTCTGCGACGTAATTTTGGAGGAATGGATATTGACCAACTTTGCGAAGATGCTCATAATATTGACTGGTCAGTGATTGAGAGAGCACCATGCATTGACGACAAAGTGGTACTTTTCAATTCCCTTCTCACTCAGCTATATGACGTACACGCGCCAATGCATTATGTTAAACTCAAGCACTTACCTGCTCCATGGCTCTCTGATGATCTGAAAAGGCTAATTTTGAAGAAGAATGCGGCATTGTCAAAGCGTAAGAGGAACAAAACAGAGGAAAACCTCGGAAAATACACTAAAATCCGGAATCGCTGCAACACATTGTGTAGAGATGCACAACGACGCCATATTCATTCATCAGTCGAGAACGGCGACTCATCTAGGGTGTGGAAGTTTCTTAAAACAGTTGGAGTTGGTAGAAACTCTCTTAATACTTCACCTCCCAGTGTTGATGTTGAACTATTAAATCAACATTTTTCTAATCCTTCTAACTCTTTTGATAGTGAACATAAACTGCAAACACTTCGTTCTCTTTCTGTAAGTCCGACTCCTAATTATTCTCCGTTCGTTTTTAATCAATTTACTGTATGTGATGTTAAGAGAATCGTATTATCCATCTCCTCAAATGCTGTCGGTAGCGACAGCATTAGCCGTAATATGATCGTTCCTCTCCTTGATGTTATCACTCCCATTATCACTCATTTGCTTAACGCATGTGCATCTTCCTCTAAATTCCCACAAGCCTGGAAGAGTGCTTATGTTATACCCCTTCCGAAGAAATCTAATCCCGTCAACCTCACTGATTTCCGTCCCATTTCGATTTTACCTTTCCTTTCTAAAGTCCTTGAAAAACTTATTTGCCAACAGCTGACACTTTTCCTTAATAAGCACAATTTGTTGAATTCTTTACAATCCGGTTTCCGTCCCGGTCATAGTACGGCTACTGCCTTAATTAAAGTTACTGATGACATACGGTGGGGTATGGATAATAAACAACTCACAGTCATGACCTTGCTAGATTTCAGCAATGCGTTCAATACTGTTGATTTCGATATACTGTTGAGTCAGTTGTATTCCCTTAACATATCTCCATCAGTAATTGACTGGTTTCAAAGTTACCTCTGTGGCCGTCGGCAGTGTATTCATGTTGATGAAACTCACTCATCTTGGTGTGATATTACTGCAGGCGTGCCGCAGGGTGGCGTGTTGTCACCTTTACTCGTTTCCATTTTCATTAATTCAATTACTCATAAAATTTCTTCTCTCTACCACATGTATGCGGATGATGTCCAGATTTACACCCAGTCAACTCTTGAGAATTTTCCAAATGCAATCGCTACATTAAACAATGACTTAAATATTATTCATGAGTGGAGTCAATCATATGGCCTAACTGTCAATCATTTTTGGTAGTCAGAGTTTTATCTCAAGAATTGACTGGTATGGAGAATACCACCTGTTGTATTCGATGGGGTTGCGATCCCTTACTTTGACAATGTCAAAAATCTTGGTGTTTACCTTGATAGTTCCTTAAATTGGAAACGCCAACTGAATGAGGTAAGTAAGAAAACCTTTGTCGCTCTTAGTTCACTGCGTCGCCTTCGATCATTTCTTCCCATTCCTACAAAAATTATGCTCGCACAGTCTCTTCTCCTTCCGATTCTCGACTATGCCGACGCAAGCTATGTAGACATAACTAAAGACCAGCTAACTAAGCTTGAGAGACTTCAAAATACTAGTATTCGGTTCATATTTGGATTGCGCAAATTTGACCACATTTCCCAATTTCGCTCACGTCGCCGGAACATGCATATTCTTTCTATTCTGTACTGTGTGTTATTTCACCCTTCTACTCCTCCTTATCTTAAGGAGAAATTTAGTTTTGTTGGACTTCCAGGTGAACATTTACGCTCTTCAAGAAAACTCATTTTAAGGGTACCAACTCACAATACATCTTTCTTTAATAAATCTTTTACTGTACAGTCTGTTAAGCTCTGGAATGCCCTACCTTTGTATTTACGCGAAGCTCAGACTATTGTAGTCTTTAAGCGACTTCTTAAAGAGCATTACTTGTCTCAATCGTTCGAAAATCATTAGGATAAATTATGTGATTATGTAGTTTTGTATTTATTTGTTTATGTTATTGTTAGTGGTATATATTTGAGGATGTACGTATGTATATATGTGTATGTGTGTATATGAATGTATATGTATATATATATGTATATATGTGTGTGTATGTTTATGTATATACCTATGTATATGTGTATCATATTTTTTAATGTATTAGTTATTTACTTATATGTTATTTTATTGCATGTATTGATATTATATTAGGTATATTTATATTGCACCACCTACCTAGTACTCACTGTTTTATTCCTTTACACCTTTGGTTGCCTGGAAGAGATCGCTATGTAGCGATAAGGCCGCCAAATTGTACATGTAATCTGCTCTGCTCTCTGTTCATTAGAAGTAATACTTATTGAAAGTAATTTTTTTTCATTACCACTGGTTCGTAAAAAAATCTCTGTCCTGGGAAGAACTAAAATAAGAGCTTACAATCATGTATATTACAATTAACAACACAAAACATATTAGAAATAGCTTGGTAGCGATTACCCTTCCCAGGGGTACATCTATAAATTCTAAAAAGGGGTGCATCTATAAATTCCTTAATATTATAATAACCCTTTTTATACAAACTTAGTTTAATAAAGTTTTTGAACTTTGTGTATGTCAAGTTTTGTATATTTTCTGGGATTTTGTTGAAAAAGCGTATACATCGCCCCAAGAATGAATTACTGACTCGGTCAGACATAAAACATAATAAAATCAATAACAAAACATTAACAATTGCAAATTTAAACGTGATAGAATTTAGCAGTAACATAGAATAATAATCACAGATAACAGAACCTGAAGCATATGGAGCACTAGATATTATAATGCAATATGCAGTCCCTGATACAGTAGTAGACAAATAGTATATTTGACAAATATATCTTTATGATAATTCTATACTTATTATTTATTTATACTGTGACTGTTAAACTTGATCTGTATTATTTTTTAAATAATGGTTTGAAGTGTATGTTGATATGTAAAAGTGGTGTGATTTTGTGTAAATGTCTGCGCTTGTGAACTATTAATGTAAACAGTGAAACAAGGGCTCCGATGGTGATGTGAATCTCCAGGTAAAGTGTTTGTCTGCTTAGGCGCCTTGAGATACTATCGCGAAATGTATGCTGACTTAAGTTGCCGTAAAAATCTCCCAAAAACTACGCATTGTGACGCATCAATATGTAGTGAAGAAGAGTGCTTTAAAGGATTATTATCACTTGATACTGAAATAAATGAAGACATGGCTTAAAGTACAAGCATCTAATCCAAAAATCTTAATAAAAATATTATCTGAATTCAATTAAAAATAAAACCACCACTGATAAATAATGAACAATGCTTTGTTTCTAGTAAAAAAGGTCTCCAGTTCTCGTCATTCGACATACACAGCAGCATTATGCTTTTATTTAACGCTAGTAGTATTAAGATATTAAGTTGTAGTAAATATCCACTAGGTAAAACATACTGTATAATTGGTTTCATTTGTAGTGTGCGTTTCTGTTTATGTTTGCATGATGACAGTTGTGAGACACATAAACTACTGCGCCACTGTTCACTGCTGAAAAATTGTGCAAAATATGATTGTTGTAACACTTTTATAAAAACACATTTTAGATGTTCGTAGTCGTATTTTTATTTGTTTGTCCAATTTTGACAAACGAACGCAGTCCACCTGATGGATGATAAGTGTATGCTGTGGCCTATAGACATCTACATTTATCCTCAATTAAGAATCAAAACGCAGATGCGTTGTCACCCCTGAGGACTAAGATGGCATGCCTCATTTCAATGAAAAATGCTCTCTACACTCACCGTACAAAACTCAGTAGTTTTGAGCTGCTATTTTACGATGGTATTCTGTGAGAGCGTGGTCCTTCCCCAGTCGAGCCAACCCATTCGTGCTACAACCATAATGTAATTGCAGTGTTGCTCTACCATGTTTTAGTAAGAAAACATATAAATTAGCTATAATTTAACTTATAAATTAAAGTACCCGGATGACCGAGCTTTGCTCGAATTTTTTTTGAAATTCACATGGATTAGAAGCAAATTACATACTGATGAATAATATTTTTTGATCTTATTGACATAATAGAAAAAACTAAATATATATATATTAATTGCTCATTTAAAGGTATAGGATACTTCTTTATTGTTTGCATTATCATATAACGCAATCCGTGCATATGCAGAGCTTATATTATAATCTTTAACATATGTTCTCATAGGAGGCCAACCGAGCATTAGCAGAATTAGAACAACAGAGACAGCGCTCCATACATGGGGAGAAAATTGCACAGCAGGAACTGCGAGAGGCACAAGACAGACTCGCCGGTAAGTAATTTGTGGCCTTTTATAATTTACAACGAGTATCTCTAACTTAAGAACTCTTGAACTTGACTTTAAACAGCTTTTAACATATCAACAAGGATGGATTTTTATATAAAGGGATCAAACGAGCACGCGGCTCACCTGAGGGTAAGTGACTACCGCCGCCCATTCCATTGCAATACCAGTGGAATTGCCGAAGTGTTGCCGGCCTTTTAAATAAGAGTAGGCTCTTGAAAGTCCCTAAGTTGTATCATCGGCCCGGAGAAATTGCTGGTGGTAGTCGATTCCACAAGGACGTTGTGCGAAGAAGAAAACTTCTTATAAATCACACAGTAGTGGACCGCCAATCATCCAGATTATATAGATGGTATCGCGAGTTTTGTCGCGATGTGCGATGGTAAAACTGAGCAGCTGGAATTAGTCCCAACAATTCCTCCCGAGCACTCGCCACAGTTTATGAAGTAGATTATTCTATACCAGTCAATAGTTTAACTGTATAAATAATTAATATGGTGATGAATTTAGTATGTTCTCATATCTTTAATCCATTGTAGCCTACCACCGAACACGTCACACAGATGGAACTTAGCATCTGTGCGTGTTGACTCTTGTTAAAAACTTTCGAAAGTAAATAGAAGTTATTCCTCTGTCCAAAATCGGCCAGGGGAAATCACACTGATATTTAATCAGTATCTAGGTCCAGGATCAATTGTATTTAGCTTTAGTGGCAATTTTCGAAATATCATGGACTCATCAAGCAGCAAGACGTCCATCATAGTGTTTTAAACATCATCCTCCTGGTCACATTCCCCATATACATATACTTTCACTTTCAACATACGATGACTATGATACAAGTAATCGCTGAACAATGTTACTAAGTGCGATGATATTAACCTTGTATGTTGAATCTGTATGTCAGGGTATTTAAAGTTAAAGTTAAATTTTAAATGGATAACTTAAAAGTTTAAGTTTTATAAGTTATACATTGAATACCAATGATCTACAAGGTGTAAATGTAAACACCGTTGTCACTAAAACCATAGGTAGTTGGCTTTAATATAAAAATATTTATACGAATTTAAAAAAAAACGCTATTTTCTATCATAAAATTTAAAAAGTTTCTGTCCGACACCGTCCGTAAACTCATGGATACCCTATGCGTCCGAGTGACGTAATCACTTTAAAGATCACCACCCGCGCTAGCTACCTACACAACATTCCAATAAAAACACAATAGGTACACATAACCTGTGATGTAACTTTTCTCTCTTACTTTCATCCTGGCTTAGGACAGACAAAAATTGAGGAATTAAGGAAAAATTGAGATTTTACTAAAAAAAATGTTATTTTCCATTGAATTTACGTTCTATAAGTGAAACCAAACCACTGGTTTCAAGGACAACGGTGTTTACACTAACACCCTGTATATGTTTTGTTGGCACATGAGGATCTTTCTCAATGAAGGGTTATTTAAAATTATCAATTGTCAACAGGCATGGCTGAACTCCAAAATGAAATACAGAGACTGACTGCTCGCGCACAGACCGCCGAAAGCAATGCGGAAAATCTTAAAGAAGACGCAGAAAAGGCAAAGTTAGAAGCAAATAAACTAAGAGAAGAAGTAGAAAAATTGAAACAAGAGGCAGATCAACTAAGGGAACAATCTGAAAAACAAAAATCACAAGTAAGTGAAACATTTACTTCGTGTTTGTTATGTTGTTAAATCATGTTGCATACATTTTTTTATAAGATAGGGTGACAAACTAGCACACAGTCTACCTAATGGTAAGTGGTTGCTGCGTCCCATATACATCTACATCTGACCTCGATTACAAATCAAAATGCAGATGCGTTGTCACCCATGAGGACTAAGATCGAATGCCTCGTTTCCAGTAAAAAGGATCTCCGGTTCTCTACTCTCACCATACGAAACACAGCAGCATTAAACTACTATTTTACGCTGGTATTCTGTGAGAGCCTGGTCCTTCCACGGTCGAGCCCACCCATTTGTGCTTCAACTATACTACTAATATAACTGCAGCATGGCTCTACCACATATAAAATTTTTTACTTGAATACATGTAAGGTCCCCGCTGGTGCCAATGAAATTGTTAATTGTAGTTTAATGTGCTGATTTCACCACGTGCTCGGCCGTGAAGGAAAACATCGTGAGGAAACTGCATGTCTGAGAAATAAGAAGATATTTCGAAGAGGTGTGAATTTGACCAACACGCATTGAGGCAGCGCGGTGGACACTTCCTTGCCCTAAAACCCTCTCAGAAATGTGAGGAGGGCTGTGCTAAGCAGTGGGACATAATATAGGCTGTAACTTTAAGGTTCTGTTCCTTTATGCGGATTCCCAATAACTTTAAAAACTTAAATGATATTTCATTTGAAATAGTAAATTGAAAATGTTTATTACAGCTATTTTTCACATTTTTTTTTTCAATTTTTATTTTTAAGTTTGCTAAAATTACTTTAAAGTCTAGTTGCGGAAGGTTATTGCAAAAATTATGTAATGTATTATTATATATGCTTCTGAGTTTGAGAATTAAAAATTTCAATTATAGACGAATTTTAAATAAATAACTTTACCACATTACTACCAATTAGCATTACCTGTGTTTTCGTTTAATGTCTTACTTAGTGCATAGTCAAAAATGTCAAAAACTACATTAACAAATTTCCTCTAAAATATACCATTTATAAACTTAATATACTTTGACGTGGTAAAATAGCAGCTTAATGCTGTATTTCGTATGGTGAGTGTAGAGAACCTGAGGTTCCTTTTTACTAGCAATGAGGCATTCCATCTTAGTCCTCAGGGGCGACAACGCGTCTTCATTTTGGATCGAGGATAGATGTAGATGTCTATGCAGCATTCACTTACTATCAAGTGGACTTGTATGCTCTTTTGTCACCTTTATTTTATAAAAAAAAGTACGGTTGATCCTACAGGCTATCCTCGAAACTTCCCGCTATTTTGAAATGCAGTGCTCCAAATTTCCACCTGTTATGACGTTTTTGAACTCAAAAACTTAATTTCGCGATCGAAACCACACGTTTCGAACAATTAACGAAATGGAAATGTTAGGAATTCATAGAATCTCAAGCAGATTGTTACAAAGTAAGGTTTTGATATTTTTTTTGTATTCTAGGTGTCGAACGAGCTTGCATCGTTGAAGGAGCAGTTGTTATTGCGAGAGTCAGAGCTGGCGGAGTTGAAGCAAATGACTGTTGTCCCTGCACAGAACGGACTGCCACCATCCACTAATGACGACCAGAAGGTAATATTATTTTTTTAAATAAAACTAGTAAGTGACAACCGAACTGCCCGTCTACCTGGTGGTGGTGATATGTGACTACTGTAGTCCATGAATACCTGGAACCAACTTCAAAGAATGCAGCAGGACCATTGTTTCCGTTGAGGACTAAGATGGAATATGTCACAGCCTGTAATCATACTGTCTCTTTTTACTCTCAAGACTAGAAACACAACAGCACAAGCTGTGTTGATTGGCTCCAGAAATAGGTAAAAGGAAGTTGAAACATCTACTCAGATAGACACCTACGTAGAAAAGATTACCTGATTATCTAGCTACCTAGTATTACAGATAAGAAAAATTAAAAATAAATTTATAGAACATTCGCGTGATGACTTTCAGGTCTTAAATGCTTTGTAATCTTTAAAATTTACACCGTAAGTTATTATTTATATGTATCATAGATTCATAAGTCTAAATAATAAATTTGTTTATAGAAAAGATAGTGGTGCGAGTCGTGAGCAAACCGGTCATGAGCAACCAAATGTACATCACGTGAAGAATGTTCACAGTACCAGCTCGCACCCTTATTTTTCACCATAGCGACCTGCAAATCAACTTCGTACGTCGAGTCTGTACTCCCGACTAATAATGCTATGTCTTCCGCCCTTCCATTCTCCAATCCTCGTCCATATTACTCTCTCTCTCTTTCTTTTTCTGTGTATGTATGTCTGTGTGTATGCGTGTGTGTGCATATGTGAGTGGGCGTGCGTGCGCGTGTGTGTGTGTATATGTATGGGTGAGTTTGCGTGCGTTCATGCGTGCGTGCGTGCGTGCGTGCGTGTGAATGCGTGCATTATTATTCTAGCCATGAAATCCCGAATAATTTCAACAGACCTTTGATGTTGCGAGCAACTTCGGGGAATGACGATATGTTTAGCCCTGTATGCAGCGACCTTCTGACATGCCAGCAACAAGTGGGCCGCCGTTTCCTCCTCCCCCATAATTTGCCCTTCACAGGGCACCATCTGTAACACCTATAGTAAGTAAATGTTTGTTAAAAGAGCCATGTCCTGTAATAGCACTTGTTGTTGTCCTGATCTGTGGCTTGCTCAATCTTATTAAGACCTTGGTTGACCGCTTGGATGATTTGAGTATGAGGCCTCTCTCGACATATGTAATCCCGTGATTAGTGAGGTCGTTTATCGTTCGACTATGTTTGTGTATAAAGGTAGGTTTGGAGTCTGTGTTTAAAATAGTTAAATTAGTGCCAAAGAGATATTCAATTAACACTTTGTCTCGTTCGTTGGGGTTTTCTCATTGCTCAAGGGGATGATGCGCGTTGGAGTCCGTCCTGTCCCGATCACAACCTCCACAAGACCAGTCCTTTCGCAGAAATTTACTGCCTTACGAGGTCATGAGGGGGGAGGTGTGTCTTTCTCCGGCATGTAGACCGAGGCGACTACTACTATTATTCCCTTTTGTGTATTTTGTATTGCTATGGCATACATGTCTCTGGAACAGAAATCTGTCAGTGATTGTGCACATATATCTTTGGTAGTATTAAGCTCTAGGCTTGCCGTGCTCAGAGTTGTAGAATAGCATACTTTTTAGGTTGTTTAGGCCTTTGATTTTACCTGCTGTAACCCAGGTCTCCTGGATTAGGGCTATGGCCCTACGTTTAGCCTCCAACCACTGGCGCAATTGAGCCGATGCAGTTTCACTGTGGTAAAGTTTGGCCTGCACGAGGCTAGTTTTGGACGAAGGGTACGCTATCACTGATCACGTCCTCCCCGTCCCCGCCTAATAATTAATGATTTAAGGTCGAGGTTAGCAATGTTGAACACCTTGCCCGGCGGGAGATCTCCCCTTTTCCTACCACGGCCACAGTGGTGACTACCCGACGTGATCTGAACACGCAACCAAACAACCTTCGGAAACTTCAAGCTTCATCATCGTCATATAATACCCCACCGTATCGCTCCCGAGCAGATATCGTCTGCAGTCTTCATATCCTGCAAGCCATCTAGCTTCACAAGGTTCATCGCAGCATTGGAATAATAATGCTTCCTGTTCCTTCAAGCTACTCTCTGTGCTATACAGTGTTCGGCACGGCTCTGAGCCTTACTGCTCGCCTCTGCTTCACGGCACTCTCGCAGATTACTTGCCTTCTTCTCGACTCACCGCAGACTACAAGGCAATCCACTGGCACTTGCACATTCGTCGGCAACAAGGCTGCACTAACGACCTCCGGTCTGAGCAGGGGGGTGATGTAGCGGCGCTGTCGTCGCAGCCACAAGCGAAAACACACCGAAGCCTAAATCGCGCTATCAACATTCCGAATCATAAACAGTATATATAGAACAAATCCGAACTATCACACGGAGTTTGTGAGCCGCTCCCCCGGGCAGAACACCTTGCCCGGCGGGAGATCTCCCCTTTTCCTTCCACGGCCACATGGTTTTCGGAACATCCAGCGTGGTAAAACCAATGCTGGATGGTGTAGTCTGTGAACCCGCCGATTTACTAGCGATTCCTCCTTGTTCATTGGTGCCTCTGGTTGGCACTTCTGACACCTCTCCTTTTTTATTGGGCCTTAAAGCATCCATGTTATATGTATGTTGGAGTTTGTCCCCCCGGCTTTCCACCCTTCATGGAGACCGCACTTTTAAACGCCTTATTTTAAAACTAAAGGAATTTCAGGCGTAAGGGTTATCGGGTGAATATAGGGACGTGAAGTTGGCCGGCATTGGGAGCTCGATCTTGTTGGCAGATAGGACTGTAAAGACTCATCTACGCTGCCCATAAACTGTCACTTCCGTCAGCATGGTCACCACCTGGCTCTTTTCAGGGAGACTAGACAGCTCCCACGTCCGTCGCCTGCGATCCTCTGACGGGGCCATTTCACTATCTGTGACTAGCACATAGGGCCTCGGTTTAATTTGAAATCTGGAGCAAAGAGGGTGTGTTGCCTCTCCGCACTAAATATCCCAGTGACGATCGGCTCAACCCTCCAGGACTCCTTCATCCCCGCGTACGGCGCTCGAATGCGTAGGTCCTAAAGCAGGTGGGTCAGTGCAGTTAGTCCACCGGATACACCCAAATTCTCGGCCGGCGGAACCATCAGTCTTTTAGAGGGGATTAAATTTTTCACTGCTACTGAATTGCCGCTAGATGTCAAGATCACTAGAAAAATTTAGTGAGTTAGGGTTGGGTTAGTTTAGTTTACGACGGACTGTTTTCCGCAACTCCACGTCTAAGCGCGTATTTTGCGTGTGGGCAGGAATAATGTAAATTATTCGAGCCATGATATCTCCCCGAAGAAGATCAGCAGTTCCTTGATGTTGCAAGCAAATTCGGGGAGCGATCCCGGCGTGCCGAGATGTTTAGCCCTGTATGAAGCGACTTCTGGACATGTCAGCAACACGCGAGCCGCCGTTTCTTCCTCTCCCATGCATGCCCTGCACAGGGGGTTGTCAGTAACACCTATGGTGAATAAATGTTTGTTAAAAGAGCCATGTCCTGTGATAGCAATTGTTACTATCCTGATCTGTGGCTTGTTCAGTCTCATTAGAACCTTGGTTCGACGACTGTTTATTTCAGGTAGGGCCTCCCTAGCTTTTCTACAGTCTACTAAATTTTTCCAAAGCTGAGCGTGTAAATTATTGAAGTATCTACGTACCAGTGAACGAATGTAGCCAAAGGGGATTGGTATTATTGGTTCCGGCCCTATAGTTGCTAGGGCCGATCCCCTTCTGGCCAGTTCATCTGCTGCATCGTTGCCTATAGATCCACTGTGTCCCTTGATCCATTGCAGAGTCACATTGTTGTACTTACATACCTCATTCAATCGTATATCAGTCCCGAGTTCGTCACATTGCAACTCAGAGCTTGTAGTACCGCCATACTGTCGGTCAGTATTCTGATGGAGAAGTCTTTCACCTTCCTAGCATCTATTGCTATGGCCGCTTGGATGATACCCATGCATTCAGCCTGGAAGACTGTGTTGTGGGTACCCAGCGGTGTGTATATGTGGATATTAAGGTCTTCAGAGAAAGCCCCAGACCCCACACCTTCATTTGTCTTAGAGTCATCCGTGAAAACTTTGAGCTCTCTTGGACCCAATCCTTCCATATGGTCAGTTTCCTTCATTTGTATCCTGTACTTCTTATTGAATACAAATTGTTTTGGAATCCTATCATACTTGGCTTGTAAGATAGGAATTTTTAAGTAAAGTCTATCGATTATATCTGTATGGGGGATTCTACCCTTACTTAAAAGATTTAGGGTCTTGAGTCTAATGGCGGCTAAAGTTGCTTCTTGTTGTATATGTAAATGAAGCAGTGTTAGCTCCAGCATAGCCTCCAAAGCTGCTGTTGGTGTAGTCCTTATGCAGCCCGTGGCAGCCATACAAGCTAATCTCTGGTAACGCTGAAGCTTTTGTATAGTGGTGGCTTCATTGGTTTTGGTCCACCATACCAGAGAGCCGTATGTGATCATGGGCCGAATTACGATTTTGTACAGCCATATTATAATTTTTGGCGTTAAGCCCCATCGTTTGCCAATCATGTTTCTGCATTGCCAGAAAGTTAAACTAGCTTTGCTGATTTTGTTTTCTATGTGTTTGTTCTAGTTAAGTTTACTGTCCAAGGTAAGACCTAGGTATTGTACCTCGGAAGAAAGTTGGAGTTTTGTGCTGAGAAGACTTGGAAGATGATAGTTATTCAGCATTCGTTTTTTTGTGAACATTATTATAACCGTTTTATTTGTATTAACGGTTAAGTCATATTCCCTGCACCATCTCTCCACAATACGGAGAGCCGCTTGGGTCAGGTCGCACACAATGCTTGCTGTCTTACCAGAGACCAGTATTGTCAGATCATCTGCATAACCGACTGTGTAGAAATGGTTAGCGTTTAATTTGCTGATGAGTTCATTAATGACCATATTCCACAGGAGAGGTGAAAGAACCCCACCCTGCGGGCATCCTTGCATGATCTGAATTGTTTGAGATTCACCAGCAATATTTATTGTTCGTGTACTGAGCATGCTTGCTATCCAGTCAATCAGTGCTGGTTCAACATTATGTCTACTTAGTGCACCTTTTATGCTGGAAAGTTTGTTTTGTCAAAAGCCGATTTATCTAAGCTATAAGCGTGTTGTTTTAGTTATTTAGTTTAGTTATTTACCCCACCACTGTTGCTTTTGCTCAGCATGTTTTGGTGGAGTGATTACTGGACACGATTCATGGTAGCTATCGATCATGGCCTTAGTGACAGCTGCTACCTGTTCTTCTAGGAGCGATTGATCTGCTATGGTATTAGTTCCCCCAACACCCGCGAGCGAAGACGTCAGCCTATTGAGGTATTTTGTTTTATCCGTCTTGCGGGGATTTCTCCATGGTGGTATAGCGGGGATATCTACCTGTAGTGCGCAGCAGATCCATCTGTGGTCTGAGCATGAGGCCTCTTTCGACACATGCCATCCCGTTATTAGCTTAGCTGCTCCTTCTGTTGCAAGTGTGAGGTCGATTATTGTGCGACAGCGTTTATTTATGTAGGTTGGTTCAGAACCAGTGTTTAAAATGGTTAGGTTAGTGCTAAATAAATATTCAACTAAAACCGTATCTCGTTCATTAGGTTTTTCCATTCCCCAAAGGGGATGATGCGCGTTGGAGTTCGTCCCGATCAAAACCTCTAGTCCGGCCCTCTCACAGAAATTCACCAGCCTGACGAGGTCGTGAGGCGAGGCATGTCTTCCTCAGGCATGTAGACCGAGGCGACGACTAACCTTTCCTCCTGTGTGTTTTGTATTGCTACGGCATACATGTCTCTGGAACAGAAATCTGTTAGTTGTTTTGCACAGATATCTTTAGTAGTATAAATACACGCTCTAGGCTTGTCGTGCTCAGAGTTGTAGAATAACTTACCTCTTAGGTTGTTTAGGCCTTTAATTTTACCAGCCCCAACCCATGGATCTTGGATGAGGGCTATGGCCGTCCTTTGTGCCTCCAACCACTTGCGTAATTGAGCCGACGCTGTCTCACTGTGGTGGAGGTTGGCCTACACTAGGCTAGTTTTGGACGAAGGGCACGCCAACATCGATCGCGTGATCCCCGTCCCCGCCTAAAAATAAGCCTGCCAGCAGATCTCGGGTCTCATCGTCAGCCACCGAGTCGGAATTGGACGGCAAAATGCAGATTTCGATGTACCGGCAACCATGGCCACGGTATCCATGACTTCCGGGTTCTTTTCTGCCTCTTTGCTAGGTGGGGAATCAACGAATTTTCCTCCACGACCCTGGAATTTAACGTATACCGCCCCACATACACATGCGAGACGGCGCCCGGCTTTCATCAGGGTCGGGATATGATCCTCCGGCACCGAAACAACGAGGAACCACCCGTCCGTCTGTTTGTCCGCTTTGAGTAGTAGCCAGTCCTTGATGTTTACCCAGCGGTTCTGGTACGCAAGCACACGACCAATGACTTCCTCCTTACCTCGTTCGATAGGCCTTTTTCCTGACCTTTTTGAATGTCGCGTGAGTCCTTCCAGGCACCTTGGGCATCAGTGATAAGGATACCACATTTGATTCTTTGTCTCTGACTATTTCTTAATAGTCATCGAGGTGTTGGATTTGAGGTCGAGGGTATTAATATTCCCATTCAACCAGTCCAGAGCCTTCTGGTCATCGCTCCATAGCTTTAGGACACCCTCCGTGTAAACGGGTTTGCCTCTAAAAACCGGGCCCGACGCATCAGGGTCCTGGTTACTCCAGGCCTCGCTGATCATCTTCCTCTGTATGGCCACGAGGATGTCATCAGCTACCTCCTTTGTTATGTGACCTGAACGCGCACACGTTAAGGCCACACCCAAATCTGCTTTAGCAGCAGAAGCGTAGCTTGTTCTTGCAGCCTTTGTTTGCTGTTCAAGTCGCACTTTTTTGTGTTCTCCTCTCGGCGAGGTGGACTCCTCCAGCAATCTTTTGGCTGCTCTTTCCTTCTTTCCAGGACGCTTGGCTGCTCTCTGGTTCCTGGCGGATTTCTTAGAGCTGGTTCCGGCGGCCGTGCCTACTGCTCGGGCTGGATTTTCATCCTTCCCAGTTTCAGCACGACTACTGGTTCCAGCCCCAAGCACCGCGGTAGCAGTCGCTTGCCCAGCTCCCTGAGTCTTGCTCTTGGAAGCAGCGAGCGCGGCTCTTTCTCTGCGGCCTTTTTCTCGCTGCTTCTTATTCTTCTTTTTGACCTTTGCGCTACTGCCTGCTGGGATAGACCCACCTGATGGTGCGTCGGGTCAGCAAGTCACCATTTTGGGTGCCTTGCGCTTCCCCTTACGGCTCACCAGCAGCGGAGAAAAGGTCTTCGGTCCTTTGGGGCTCCGCAGGAGTTTTGCTACTCACGGCACCTTGCTCATTTTTCTCGTCCAGCTCCTTGGATTTGGAACTGGATTTAGAGACATCCAGCGCGGAAATTGCCCCCTTGGTGGGGCCACCTACGCTGGGTGGTACAGTCAGTGGAACGGCCGGTTTAACGGCGGTTCCTTCTGGTTTATCAGTGTCTAAGGTAAACAACTCTGACACTTCTCCCTCACTACCAATGGGCCTTGTGTTGTCCATAGTTTTTGATGTGTGTAATAATTCGTCCCCCCCGGCTTCCCACTCTCCATGATGCCCGCACCTTTGGGAACGCCCTACTTTATTAAAAGAATTTCAGGCGTTAGGATTATCGGGGGAATATAGGGACGCAGAGTTGGCTCACAGCGCGACATCGGGAGCTCGATCCAGCTGGCAGATAGGGCAGAAAAGGCCCATCCCCACTGCCCGAGTTGACTTTCACTTGCCCCGTCAGCATGGCTTTTACCACCACCTAGCCCTTTTCAGGGAGACTAGGCAGCCCCCACATCCCTCGCCTGCGACCCTCTTACGGGGCGCTTGGCCATTTCCTTATCTGTGGCTAGCAGATAAGGCCACCGTTTAGCTTGTAATCCGGACCAAAGAGGGCGTGTTGCCTCTCGACATTATATACCCCAGTGACGATCGGCTCAACCCTCCAGGACTCTTTCATCCCCGCATACGGCGCTCAACTGCGCAGGTCCTAGCGCAGGTGGGTGTGTTAGTCCAACGGATACACCCACTCTCTCCGGCGGAACGGTTCCCTCCTCTTTTCCGGGCTTGGGACCGGCAGCAACAAAAAGCATTGACAAAGTTAGTTACCCGTGCTTCCTGTTGCAGGCAGAGTTAAAAGTTAGGGTTGGGTTACTTAACCGCCGCCCAAGGTTCGGCGTTGACTCATTACTACTGTATTAGTCTCTTCTAGCCGACCCTCCTCTTTTATTCGGGCTTGGTACCAGCTGTACCAAAAGGCACAGGTAGAGTTTATGTTGTAGGACGTTGCGTAACAAGTGCTTTATTCAACAGCGAGCGAGTGAGCTAGCGAAGGTGGAGAGCGTGGTGGCAGCCCTGCGCGAGGAGCTGGCGGCTGCGCAGCGTACCAGCGCCGACCACAAGCAGCAGCTCGCCGCGCTCACCGCACAGCTGCACCACTACCAGGACAAGAACAACGTGAGAGACATTCTTGTTTTTTTTAAACGGCTGTGTTTCGTATGTTGAGTGTAGAGAGAACCGGAGACCCTTTTTACTGGAAACGAGGCATTTCATCATAGACCTCAGGGGTGACAACGCATCTACATATAGATTCTTTATCGAGGATAGATGTAAATGTCTATGGGCCAAAGCGCAGAGTCCACTTACAGCCAGGTGGACTGTGTGTTTGTTTTTCACCCTTACTCTATAAATAAAAATACTGTTAACTGTGTAAAGCTGTTAACTTTTTTTTTATAGAATATGGGCGATAAACGAGCACACAGTACACCTGATAGTAACTGGATACTGCGGCCCACAGAACATCTATCCTCGATCAAGAATCAAAATGTAGATATGTTGACACCCCTGAGGTCTATGATGGAAATCATCTCATTTCCAGTAAAAAGGGTCTCCGGTTCTCTCTACACTCACCATACAACATGCAGCATTAAGCCACTTCACGCTGGTATTTTGTGAAAGCGTGGTCTTTCCCCAATCGAGCCGACCCATTTATGCTATGATCCGTAATATAGCTGCAGTATGGCTCTAGCATGTTACATGGCCGGGCTGACATGCGCACCAACATTTCACTAGTCTTGTATTACTCACTTAACTTTTATCATTTATTACTTCTAACTATCAAAAAAACATCCCACCTCAAGTTTTAATTGAAATAATAGAATACATATATCGAATAAAACTTGTTTAGCACTATTTAACGATTCGTTTATGGTTCTTGTGAATGAATTATTTCCCCATTCACTCATTTTCATTAATATTATATGCACACATTTTTTTGCACTGTTATACAAACTCAAACAATAAATTAGTTTTTTTTGGCTTAACCATTTTAATGACATTTTGCTTGTTGATTTTGGCTTCTCCCACTCAGGAGTTGCGAACTAAAAACTGGAAAATAATGGAGGCGTTACAATCAGCCGAAAAGGCCCTCCAGGCGAAAACTACCAGCGCGATGCCGGTCCAAGACTCGCTGCCTGTAAGTGTTAAGTTCAGAAATATAACTATGTCAATTATGTATTCCGTAAATGTCGAACTTAGGCTTTCAAAGCAAATAGTGAGGGGGATTATTTCGCTTTTAGCGCTATCGTTTTCGCTCTTCGGCCGGCTTCGCTTTCACATAAATATGCGTTTTTATTTGCTTATGAGCAAGAGCACCACTAATATGTAAGTTTTTTTTAACGAATAATTCACTTTAGACATTTTAAGTTTTCGCACACTTATTTACGAATCTCTAAAAGGCAAGGGCACAAGCATATGAGGCAACATTTGAAATCGCTTGATATAATTTTAGACTTGTACAGATAATTTTTTTTTTATTTCTTTTTTTTTTTTTTTCAATATTGCTCCCCCGTCCGGCCCCCCGCGATAACTTTTTTTGTACAAAAATGTCTTCCCAATTTGCGAGAACTATATATATACAGTCGAATTAAGAACCTTCTCTTTTTTTTTGAATTCGACTACAAATTATTATGTTTTCACTGACATATTTGAGATTTTTGTATATTAGTTTTTTTTTTATTAGAGAGAGAAAAGGAAATCTTCAAAAAGACACCGGTCAAGTTGTTGTAAGACTGATAGTGTGGGATTTTTACCCACTAAAATTTCTCTCTTAAGTAACCAGCACCACGGGACCGCGTTAGGATAATATTATGGTGCTGGTACTCCTTATCGCTGCTTTACACGACTACTCCTCCGTTTCTTCTTCTTTTTCTTCCTTCTTCTTCATCAGCAGGACCTCCCTTACATACACCGTCATCGCTGTCCAATTGTCATTTGTTGCCATTATCCTAGGAACGACCCCTTCCGGCCCCTGAGGCACCCTCTTGTCGCTCTGCCTCTAGCCGTGTTTCAGACCAGCGCTGACAGACAAAGAAGGTGTGCTCGGTGGAATCGACAACGCCCGGACAGTACACGCAATCAGGAATGTTTCGGATTATCATAGGAATTGTCTAAGATAGTAGTCTATCTCTCCATGTTCCCGTAAGGTCGAGTCACGGACTCGTCTAATAAGCCTATGAGTCCAACGCCTGGTTTCCCCGGATTCCCAGCGCTCTTGCCAGAGCACAAAAGTCTCCTCGCGTTATCGAGTCCTTTCGTCTATCAACGGTTCCTTGCCAGCATGCCGCCGCTCGCTTCCAATTTGTTTCTACTTTGATTGCTTCTCCCCAGACCTCTACTCCGTAGAGCATAATGGAGATTGTACCTGAGATGACCAACTCGGCTGCCTCCGATACCGTTCGATAGGCACAGGCTGCTCTCAGTGCACCTCTACGTTGTACCCACGCAAGTCACTTCCAATTTTTCTCTACTTTGTGTGCTTCTCCCCAGACCTCTACTCCGTAGAGCATGATCGAGTTAGCAATACTGATGAGAGCTCGTCTGCGGCTGCTCCTTGGTTCCCCGACACTTATCATTAACCAAGAAAGACTCGCCACCGTCTTCGCTGCTTTTGTGCCCACAATAACAATCTGTTCTCGAAACGTCGATCTCTAGTCGATCGTCACTCCGAGGCATTTCGCCCCGACTCTCGATGTGTTGATCCACGATGAGATGAGAGCCTAGAAGGGCCTCGGAAACTACTTCTGAGCTGTGAGTACCACGACCTCCGTCTTCGCTATGGGTAACGACATACCATGTTCATTCAGCCATGCGTTGATTTTGACCGCGACAAGTCTCGCCAAACACTGGGATTCGCCGTTCCTTGCAAGAATTAACGCCATCACGTCGTCATCGAATCCCTCCAACAGTAGGTCGAGACGTAGAAATGCATTGTAAGGGATGATTGGTGGAGCCCTGTGCCGCTCTCCCACTCAGCTCCTTCATGATCCCTCTCATAGTGGTCTCACATAACAAAAAACGATCACATAGGTAATCACTTATGATACGGATGAGATACTCAGAAACACCTAATATATATTACCTATCATCACCCTATAATTTCGTATATTTTCATACATCCAGTATTTGCACATTTTCATTTATATGTTAGTGGATAAACAGGAACGAGATAAAATTTTATTGAAAGCTTTAATATCGGCGTAGTCACAACAGTATTGCAGCAATTTTTATTTAAATTTTTTTTTTACAGATTTTATATATATATATATATATATATATTTTTTTTTTTATTCTAAATATATCTAAGTATAATCTTGTTATTCTAAATAAGGAAATAAGTCCATGTCTAATCACGTTTCTATGCAAAAAAGGAAAAGTTACACATGCCTTTGAACCTTTGAAACACCTCATTTCGAAATATCTATCTTTTTACTTTCGTTTTTACACTTCGCAATATTGCGCCAAACGGCATATTTTCACATATATAACTTAAGCAGCGATCCGTTAGCTCGCGACAGTTTGAGCCTGCGACTGACTGTCAATTAGGCTTACTGTCCCTAATTGTGATACATCGGCTCCCTGCACTGGGTTTTCTCTTGTTTTTTTATATTCCGTTGTCTAGACAGTAGACAAGAAGCTCCGGAACAGAAACAAAGGCGTACTTACAGCAGAATACAAACCTTTTAGCATTTATTTGCCAGTAATAGGTAACATACATATGAACAGCCTTAAGTCGTATCACTACTCGATAGAACAATATAGAACAAAATATAACAATCCAAAAATTATTGAGAATTTTAAAGTAAAGGGAAGTTTTTAATAATTCTTAATTCACTTCTACTTATTCAGGAGGCGATATTAAAAGCCCAAGAGTCACAATACCAAGAAGTGACGAACGTACTACGTTCTGCCTGTCCTGTCGCTGCACCAAGCTCGGGAACAGGTCGTGACTGGCTCCAGGCTTTCGCTAATAATCTACGGAACGAGTTCCAGAAAATGGAAGCGCAGAAGCGGGAGCTGGAGAAGAAGCAAAAGGAGCTAGAGTTAGAGAAGAAAAAAGTACCAGAAGTTCAAGCCGCACCTGCGTCCGATTCACGGCTAAGTGAGTTGCTCGCGCAGAATGAACAACTCCAAAGCCTGCTGGACAAATACAAGAGAGTTATAGAGGATACAGTAAGTTTCTATTCAATTTATGTTATCTATGAATATCAGAGGAGAATAAACGACAAAGAGCAACACTTTGTACGTGGTATAGTCACGATGCAGCTATATTATGGTTGTAGCACGAATGGGTCGTCCGGGGAAGGATCACGCTCTCACAGAATACTAGCGTAAAATAACAGCGTAATACTGCTGTGTTTCGTATGGAAACGAGGCATTCCATCTTAGTCTTCAGGGGTGCCAACGCATCTGCGTTTTGATTCTTAATCAAGGATAGATGTAGATGTGTATGGGCCACAGCATACACTTACCGTAAGGTGGACTGGGTGCTCGCTTGTCATCCTTATTCTATAAAAAAACTCATATTACTTTATTTAAAAGTTACAGCATATATATACGTCCCATTGCTGGGCAATCTGTGAAAATGTTTACCTATCCGATTTACTGGTTTCCTCGTGAAGTTTTCCTTCACTGCCAAACACGTGGTAATTCAGCACTAAAATTGTAAATAACAATTGGTGGTTTTATATTATGATCATAAAGGCGATATTACATGGATCAATCAAATTGGAACAATTCCATTGAAGAGCATTGAAAATTGCACATTGAACGACTTTACCAATATACACGTAAATCATTTAAATGACATTCAATGTTCACAACGCAAAGCGATGTCGCGCCAACTCTTACGTGCGGGAATTTCGTTAATCTGCAATTATTTAATAAATGAGTTAAATAAAAAAATAAAAAGAATATATAGGCGTTCGTGGATACGCCCGTAAGTTTCAAGAAGGATAACTAAAGGAGTCTCAAGCACCTTATTAGTGGAATTGGCAGAAGAAGACCCAATTCATATTTGAACCATTTGCGAATGACCTGTCTGTAACGCCACTTAAAAACCATTTTCGAAAATCCATGTGCGCAGGCGAAATAGATGAGCGTGCGTACGCTTCGCTGACGTGCGGTGCGCGGAATGAGTCACCTTCAATCTTCATGTATACATGTTTCAACCGCATTGAACAATGACCAATATTGCTACCTTTGCATTGAAAGCGTTCGGTGATTTGAAGCTTTCAATGAGATTGCGCAATCGCATTAAAATGTATTTAGATGTCTCAATGCCATTGAAGCAATTAAACTGAAAGTAGTTTTGATCCGAAATTGATGCGTGTAATATCGCCTTAACTGTTAAATTTACAGCGACCGCTCAGCTTCTGAGATACAACAGCTCTCACTTTATGCTTAATATGTTTCTTTAAAGGAAGGTGCATTAAGTCGTTTGCAGCAAAATGTGACGATAGAAGAGCAACGGTGGGCAAAACAATTGACAGAGAGGCAACGCGAACTTGACGAGCTCCGACAAAGGACCGTGTCACAGGTAATAAAAATATAATGATTTCTTCTATTCACCGGAACGCCATATGTTGTATCAAACTGTTTTTACGGATTTAATCGCATTTAATTTTACTTATTTTAATTCCCGACTTTTTACAGCGTTAGTTCGTTTCGTTTTTGGTTATCCACGGAACCTAACTGTGAGTGGTAGTGAGATTCTATTTAATTAGTAATTTGGTCTTTTCCTCCCTATACACTGAAGTACCGTGTAGTTCGGTGTAAGTATCCACCCATATTTGTCGGTGTGGGGCAACCTGAGATGGGGACGTCATAATGATTAGAAATTGCGGTTGTCAACCCGATTGCCGAGCGTGACAACTACGGCAAATATGCCCCCTATGGGGTATTCTATGGAGGATGCCTATATTTAACAGTAGACTTTAATACGCTGTTACGGTAACGGTAAAACATCTCAGAAAATTAATGAATTATTTGCCTTAAATTCCACTGTGAATTGAATTTTAGCGTTATTCCGTTTATCCACCCAATTCCACTGTGAATTGAGTTTTAGCGTTATTCCGTTTATCAACCCAATTCCACTGTGAATTGAGTTTTAGCGTTATTCCGTTTATCCACCCAATTTCACTGTGAATTGAGTTTTAGCGTTATTCCGTTTATCCACCCAATTTCACTGTGAATTTAGTTTTAGCGTTATTCCGTTTATCCACCCAATTTCACTGTGAATTTAATTTTAGCGTTATTTCGTTTATCCACCCAATTCCACTGTGAATTGTATTTAAGCGTTATTCCTTTTATCCACCCAAGTCCACTGTGAATTGAATTTTAGCGTTATTCCGTTTATCCACCCAATTCCACTGTGAATTGAGTTTTAGCGTTATTCCGTTTATCCACCCAATTCCACTGTGAATTGAGTTTTAGTGTTATTCCGTTTATCCACCCAATTTCACTGTGAATTTAATTTTAACGTTATTTCGTTTATCCACCCAATTCCACTGCGCATTGAATTTTAGCGTTATTCCGTTTATCCACCCAATTCCACTGTGAATTGAATTTTAGCGTTATTCCGTTTATCCACCCAATTCCACTGTGAATTGAATTTAAGCGTTATTCCTTTTATCCACCCAAGTCCACTGTGAATTGAATTTTAGCGTTATTCCGTTTATCCACCCAATTCCACTGTGAATTGAATTTTAGCGTTATTTCGTTTATCCACACCATTCCACTGTGAATTGAATTTTAGCGTTATTCCGTTTATCCACACTAAAGGATCCACCCTAGGATGGATACTCGGAAATGCGTGTCCGTCTATCCATCCCAGACGGGGTGGATAATCTGAATTTACTTTTATTTATTCATCCGACTTTTCGCCCCAAGTACAGTTCAACACATACACTTTAATTATTATTAATTAATTTGTAATAACCACAAACCTTTTCAAAAAACTTATGCGTGGACTTTAATAGGCCATTACCGTTACAGCCTATTAAAGTCCACGCATTACGTATTGCATTTAAATAAAATTGAAATACCTCGTTTTAAATAATATTATAGAGTACTTTATAAATTCTGCAATATGTCCAGGCCATTACCAACTTTAACGTCATTATTGAGTAGACATAATTTGATATCCTCGACTAATTCGTCACTTTTAATGTAAATTTTCAATATTTTTAAAAATTGTATGCTCACAGAAGTGTTAGCGAAGTATTGGGCGTTGTTTTTGTAAGCATTCCAAAAACGTTACGTTTGGAAGTTTGTCATTAACTTCATTTTAAATTATTTTAATCCAAGATTGCAATGAACCTGTTAATCCTGTGAGTTACTCATTTTATTTCAGCGTTGACCTTTCAATTAAAAAGTATGTTTATTTTTTATAGGTAATGTACTAAGTATCTTTAGCCAATTTTTATCATGTTTCTATAAATGACTGTACACAGCCGAGGTGGAATGTCGGAAGAAAAATAATATATAAGAATCCCGATTATCCACCCCGTCTGGGATGGATTGATGAACACGTGCTTCCGAGTGTCCACTTCAAGGTGGAGTCTTTAGGGTAGATAAACGGAATAATCCAAATTTTAGTATTCATGTCGGAAATTAAACATGTAATATTTTTTTTAATTTTTTGACTACGTTTTTTATCATGTTCTTGCAATATCGTCCGAATTTGAGTTATATTCAAAATTTCAAGTTTCCACCTCATCGGGAACTTAGTTTAGAGTCCTAAATTACAAAATTCCACTGGAAACTACAGATGGACAGACAAACAGAAAGTGGCTTAATAAAAACCAGTTGATTAAATTAAATGTGATGAAATCCGTAAGTTTAATTTTATTCGACGTTTTATTCTTTTACATACCACCACCATTGAAATCGTAAAATATGCTTATGATCTCATTAATATATCCTTTAATAATCTTACGTGCGGGGTGAGTGAAAATGCCGATTAGGATGAGAGAGAAATGGATGTATTCACGACAGTCACGTCGTCCAAATTCGTTAAGCTTCTTCGATGAATTCTTTAATATTCGCAGATGTCGAGGTCCATTGCTCGTAGTCGCTTCTCGAAGTGCAGTTCACTATCGCGCTCCCGAATGTAACTGACCGACCCGCTCTTTTATATCGTTTACTGAATCGATTCCTATCATTTTTAATATAGGTAATTTTTTATCCCAAAAATAATTAAAACTACGTAAATTACAGTCACACTAGGTTTATCTTCGACGAGGTGTTAATGTTAGTTTCTTCTATCTTTAGCCGGCTAAACTTAAGTGTAATTGCAGGCCCTTGGCTAAAATGTAGAAGGAAATGGAAAAGGAAACAATGTAATAATGTTTACTATTTTGACACGAAAACTTTTATTAAAAAATAATCACTCATTACACATACTTTTATGTATAGGTATTCATAATTACAATTATTTCAATTAAAAAATATTAATTATATTAAAATAAAATAATAAGGAACCATTTGGTCATTACAGAATCTTCTGTAGGTATTTAAAATAACAAAATAAACAAAATTACAAAATAAAACTTCTTCAGTGTTAATTACTTAAAACAATATCTAGTCACTATTGTTAAATAATATGGAGCTATTTGTGTAACATGATGAACTAGAATGGCATTTCGAATTACAAAGAACATTTTTTAATCGGCAGCGGCATTTGCGTGTACCTACCACATTTTGTCTTGCAATGACATCTTTGAAAGCCTTGTCCACCTGATGTTGGCTGTTCATTATCAAGATGGCGAATAGTCATTTTCACTGACGACACTTTTTCCAAATCTACGAATTTTTGTTCACAAACTGTAAATTGATTTCGTGAAAAAATCTGTTCAATCTTACCGTTTTCGTTGCCCAATTTATAAAATCCGTCTTCATTTTTATCTTAAGACTGTCCATCATAAAATGTTCCTAAAATCTCCTCGGCCTCGATCTACTTCCGGTATCTTTACTCTTACTGTATCGCTTATATGACATTCTGCAAACTTTGCAGCGGAATTTTGTTTCATTTTAATGGCTTGGTACTCTAAATTTAATTTCGCTTTTGAACGATTATGTTCAATATCTGCTTCTTTTGAACACAGAGGGCATGTCATGTCGTCAATTAAAATGCCATGTTCTTCACAAAGGGTGCAGGTATTTTCTGAGGTATGAAGTTCGGAGGTCTGTTGTTCATCGTTCAAGTCATTTTCCTTAAAGTTATCTATCACTTCTTGTGGGTCATCTTCCGTTGTTAGATGGTTTGTTACTTCATGAGGCAAATACGATGACTTTAAACCCACTTTTATTTCACTTCCTAACATCGCTTTGTAGGGTGTTCTCTTGATACCGCCGTGATAGGCGGAATTTTTCTTTAATTGTACAAATTTAAGACCCTCCGACCATTTTGAGGATTTTTCATCACTCGTCCACGTCATCAAGATGTTTTGGTATATCTTGGTTGGCACGTTTAACACTGCCTTGCGATTGGCTATGTCGATGTTTGCCGTGTACCATCTTCAAGCCTGGCCACTTACTACATAATTCTGCCATAACTCTGTTCGCAAACTCGCGCCCATTATCAGATTTTAGAATTGATGGTGCTGCATGGTGGTAGGCAAAATATGTCAAGAAGCACGTTTGACACCTCCACTTCCGTTTTTGTACGTAGAGGGCGAATTAGAACAAATTTAGTTGAATGATCCTGGTAAAATAAAATAAATTTAAATTCACCATCTGGACTGCTCTGTATGTCAATTAAATGAACTTGACACCTGCTGTTTATTTCGGAAGATATTATTGATTTGACGACTATTCCTTTCTTGTTAGTTTTTAATTTCATTTGACAGGATTCACATAAACTTAAATACAATAATATTCCTTCTTGTGTCACATTCTTGTACTTTTTCTTTGATTCATTTATCATACGATTCCGGCCACCATGACCCGTATCAATGTGAATGGTATGCAACACATCAAACAGGTCTGAATTTTTCACATAATACAAGATACTATTGCCTTGTCCTGCCACTGGTGCTATTAGCTTTTCTATGCCGCCAATAGTGCAAACATCAAATCTTTTTAATCGTCGATACTGCAATGTTGAACGCTTAGCGGCGAGTTTTGCTGACCTGACTTCTTGAATTACATTATCGTACTGTTCGTCACTCAAATAAAAACTATTATCAGTTCGTTTTGATGTTAGTAACTCACGAAACTTACTGTCAAACTTCGTTTTAAACGTTTCGAGATTGTGCAACGCCGACATCGCAAATAGGTATACGTGCGATCAACCGCAAAGAAAAATGACGTAATACTAAACCAAAACATTGCCACGTGTGCGCGCGTTGTCCCCCCACCGCCTCCTCAAGCCCTCCGGCCGCCAGCCGCCGGCCAGTCGCGTCCATCGAATACATTTTTAGCCGTTTCGTTTCGGTTAATGTGCACATTAACCGGCTAAAGATGGAATATCACGACGCAAATTAACATGTTATCGAACTTTAGCTGCTTCTCGAAGATAAACCTAAGTTTAGCCGGCTAATCTTAAGTTTATGTTCACACCTACCTTTAGCCGTAACCATATATTATCGTTTATACCGACAGACTTAAGTTTGTGATATTGTATATTGTTATAAAAAATATTATGTGATACAGCAACAATCCCCGCTCATAGACCTATTTAAATTCCAAAACCATGTTCTCAAACAAACATTTTTTTTACTTAGGAACCTCTGGCGTTTGCATACTCCTGCATAGAAAAATCTTTGCCTAACATCGTAGAAGAGGTATAAAGTGTCCACCATCCGTAAATCTCACTTTTGTGTTGTCACCAATAACACATTAAATGTATTCATCAGTGTCCTTTTTACACCTAGACTACAAAAAATGAAACGAAAGTTTTTCTTTTTTTTTGCATTTATATCCCCGTATAATTGGTTTCAGTCACCTTTTATTGTTTCGTATGAAACCGAGCTAAATAAACTGTGTGGTTTATATTTAGAATAATGGTGTATAATTATTTGTCAGTCACGCATCAAGTCAATCAAAAATATATTGCTATCAGCTTAAACAGGATAAGGTGTAATCTAAATCATTATACATCCAAGTTGTAATAGTACAGAACTAGGGATTACTTAATATTGTTACATTACATGCGCTTTTGCCTTATTTGGTGTTGTATGCTCTTCTATTGGTGGTGGTATGTATATATATTTTATAATAAATTATCATCGTTACATGTTCTCTATTTTACGCAGATGCAGAATAAAATCGACGCCTTGGAGCTAGAGTTAAAAAAAGCACAAACATCAAACCACGGCCACAGCTTTGCTGATGCAGAAAGATTTACAGAGGTACAAATATATTTTCGCTTTACATCTCTTTCACCACAAATGTAAAATAATGACATTTTTTTATAGGATAGGGTGACAAACGAGCACACAGTCTACCTGATGGTAAGTGGTTGCTGCGGCCCATAGACATCTATATCTATCCTCGATTACGAATCAAAATGCAGATGCGTCGTCATCCGTAAGGACTAAGATTTAATGCCTCGTTTCCAGTAAAAAGGGTCTCCGGTTCTCTACACTCACCATACGTAACATAGCAGCATTAAGCTACTATTTTACGCTGGTATTCTGTGAGAGCGTGGTCCTTCCCCGGTCGAGCCGCCCCATTCGTGCTACAACTATACTACTAATATAACTGCAGCATGGCTCTACCACGTATAATGGCTCGATAGTCAACTCATTTTGTTAACCCCCAACGAAAAAGAGGGGTGTTATGAGTTTATAAGTTTGTTTGTTATGTGTTTCTTACACATATTTTATCAAAATTCGTTCAGCTATTAGAAAATCAGTAGTCTTTTTGTTTCTGGAGTTTTTAAAATTTTCAATTTAAAATATTTAAAAAAAAATACTTTCTCGTACAATAGCTCTAAGAATTCATATATTTGATTAAAATTGTGTAGTAAGTGCAGAAGGAGGAATTCTGTAAACATTCATTTCATATCTATGTATAAAATCTTTTTTTCCAGGAAAGGTTAATAGGATCCTTATCAGATAAACACGATTTGCGCAATGGACCTACACAGGTAAATGTACGACTTTTTTTGTTAATAAATTATAAGTGACAAACGAACTGGTGGCTATGGGCTCCAGCAGGCCGTGGGCACATGCAACACGCTCCAAAACACGAGAAAAAGGCGACAGATGCGTTGTTACCTACTGAGGGCTAAACAACCCCTCAAACCGGAACACAGCTGTATATGTAAATAATTAAGAGAGTGGTAACCAAACATAAGGACTCCTAGATAGGAAAGCAGTACTACCACCAAGTTATAATTATAATAATAATAATGTTCTCCAGACCGAATTTCGGCCACGGCGGCCTGCCTCAACGGAGGCTAGCCATCGGCGCAGGACAGGATTATAGTGCCCAAGTGTATGCGCAAGCACAGGTGCACTCTCTATTCCCTCACTCGCATAATCCGATGGGACGGTAAACCGACACGACCGGAGAGAGACCAGGCGCAGGACCAACGGCTTTACGTGCTTTCCGAGGCACGGGGGTGAGACACCGCCAACTTCCTGACTCCGGGCAGCTACTGAGAATTTCTTAACGTAAAAACTCAATAATTGATTTTTTGGCCCGACCCGGAATTCGAACCCAGGACCTCATGATCAGCAGTCGCACTACTACAACCACTAGACCAACGAGGCAGTCACCAAGTTAACATTATGTATAAAAAGAAGTCACTTATTATAAAGTCAGTCAGCTGCCGCGCGCGATTGCAAGTGGACGGCTGCGCCTATACTTCAGCAAAAATGGCTTCGGATATTGTAAAATGTGCAAATTGTAATATAGTGATTAACGAACTACTAGCATTTATTCAAAACAAGGCGGATGTAATGGACGAGGTTTCTCTTACAAGATTATGCTGTGATAGTTTTTCTGATAGTGAAATAGTGGCTGCAAAGAAGCTGTTCTTCAATTTTGTCCCGGAATCGAAGCGCAAAACTCGCAAGAATAAAGGTAAAAATGCTCGAGACATTGATGATATTATATGTCTCTTTAAAACTACCGACCCTGAATTAGTACCTATCTTTGTTGCTCGTGATCTTCGAAAATTACCACATATCACGTTTGACCACATAGATGTAACGCAGCTGTTAAATGATATTATTACGCTAAAGTTCGATGTACACGCTTTAAAAACTGATAGCGCTACTCTAAGTCAGCTGTTAGATCTAAAAACGGAGATAGATAATCTAAAACAAGCATCAATCATTTGAAATAAGTTTGACTTTGTCAATAGAAAAAGAGGCAATTTCACAGCAGATTTAGAAAACTATGATAGTGGGCCAATGGCATTGCAAAATTATTCCCAGGAGATCCCGAGTAAAGACAAGTCACCTACATCTTTAACATCACAAAAGAGCTATAACAAAGTTTCTCCTACATATGTAGGTATGCAACAAAATATTTTATCAACGTCGCAGAGAAATAATAACAGCGCGGAGCAATCAGCTGGCATTACGCATACAACAAGTGTTAAAGAATTGTGTAGTGCTATCTCGCCTACGCAGGTAAAGGAAGCTAATAAATTAGCTCGTGTTAGTGATAAAACGAATAAACGGTGTGTGTCCACTACTATTTGTTCAAATACTGCGAACTCGAATGTAAACAAAGAGGTTTCATCATATTGTCATTCTAATGAGCGAAAAACGTTGAATAGTATGGAAGTGGAACGTGAACAAATAGTAGGGAAAAGTGGACGTTGGTTACTAATACGAAACGAAAAAATTCAGCGTCCAGTAAAAGGATGGGAAAAGCCGATGTTGGAACTGATGTAAAATTTAAGGCAGCAATAATCAAAAATCCTTTGTTTATTTCCAATGTGTCAAAGGACACAAAGGAAAGTGATATTATTGCATACATTAAAGATAAAACACAGAAAGAAACGTCTTTATTTAAAATTAATAGAAAAATTGAAAAGAAATATAATTCCTTCAAGCTTTATGTGTCCAAGTCAAAGCTGGATGTTTTTCTTGACGATAAGTTCTGGCCTGACGGCATAACCTTTAGGCGTTTTACAAATGATAACTTTAAGTTAAAAAACAGCATTAATAGTATAATGAAGCAAACGATTACATAAGAATTGATAAACAAATTTATAAGACAACTAAATTAGCCTGTTTTAATTGCAAATCTGTGAAACGCTCAATTGATGCAGTTAAGTTTCTGTGTCAAAAAGTCGATATAGTTGCTCTCCAAGAAACGTGGTTGCTTCCCTATGATATCCCATACCTTGCCAAGATACACCAAGATTTTGAATACACAGGAAAATCAGCTGTGAACATATCAGAGGGCATACTCAAAGGACGACCGTATGGTGGTGTGGCGATTTTGTGGCGCAAAGGAGCTTTTGAGTCAGTCACAGTAATAAACTGTGCTAGTGTGCGGCTAGCAGCAATAAAAGTATCCCTCGGCGACAAATACTTTTTAGTGTTTTGTGTACATATGCCGACAGACGCGAGAGATAACCTAACAGAATTCACTGAATGTCTTAGTGAGGTAAGCGCGATAGTCGAAAGTTGTGACGTGGAAGCAGTGTATGTCCTTGGTGATTTTAATGCTCATCCTGGTGAGTCTTTTGGACTTGAACTCTTAAAATTCTGTTCTGAACAGAATTGGATTTGTGCGGACATTGAAAAGTTAGGTATAGATTCTGGTAACTATACATTTGTCAGTGATGCACATGGCTGTAGACGATGGCTTGACCATTGCATTGTCACACAAGCTGCTTGGGACACTATAACTAACATAAGAATATTTTATGATGTATTCTGGTCTGATCATTGCCCCTTTATTGTTGAGTGCAGGTTAGACACTATTAAAACGAAATTAGAAGTTGCGATAAAATCATGTAAAATAATATGACGGGTAATGTTATGATATGTGTAATAACAAATTAATGTCGCTTAAGGTGTCTGAGGAACTTAGCGTATGTTATAATTCACACTGTAACAATACCCATCATAGGTTAATGCTTGATAATAAAGGCTCAAACACTTGCAATTTTTTTAAGTTACCTTAACACTAGGATTTCCTTTTTTTCGTTATTTATATTAAAAAGACACATTAATTAAATTAAGATTTATTATTATTTATTACATACTAGCGATCCGCCCCGGCTTTGCACGGGTGATTTCTGGATTTCGCCAATAGCGCCACCTACCAGGTCCAACTGAGTTTTTAAATCATCTGGGGATCCACTCAAATACACACACAAAAATTCATCAAAACCGGTCGAGTCATTTTCGTGTCTTTGCGAGACTTACAGCAATTGATTTTGATATGTAGAGATTATCAAATTACGAAGGACTGTCTTTACATCCATAGAGTTGTCAGACGAAATCACGTGACTATCCCGTGGTCATCAAACTTGTTTATGGACAGTTGTTTGGAAATTTTCAAGTTTAAGAATATGGGTTAAAAATGGATGATTAAGTCATATTTGCGTCATCGGCGGGCGAGTTGCAAGTGATGTTTACTGTAATGAACATGTGATGGCAGTTTAAATAAATATGATTATTGCTCTTAACAAGATTTTACATGGTAGAGCCATGCAACTGCTATATTGTGGTACGAATTGGTAGGTTTGGGGAAGGACCACGCTCTCGAAGAATATTAGCGTTAAATAGCAGCTTGATGTTACTGTGTTTCGTATGTTGAGTGGAAATGAGACATTCCATCTATAGTCTTCATAGGTAACAACGCATCTGCATTTTGATTATTTACCGACGATAGATGTAAATGTCTGTGGGCCCCAGTATCCACTCTCGATCACTCACTTACCAAATGGACTGTGTGTTCGTTTATCACATTTATTCTATAATAAAAGGTTGATAGGGAAAATCATAAACTGATAAAAGGAAAGTGTGAAGATCTTCTTGCAAAGAAGACAACGACTGCTCTTACATACTAAAGTACGTTGGTTGTCGAAAGGTGCATGCTTATCGAGGTTTTACTCACTTTTCGAATCAGTGATAAAGTTTCTGGAAACTAAAACACCTGATTTTAAAAGAAAATCTGATCAAATATAAAGCGGACATTGCGTACTTAACAGATTTGTTGATAAAATTCAATGACGTTAACTTGCAGTTGCAAGGGGACGGCTTTAATTTAATAAAAACAAAGGGTGTAATTTCGACTTTTCTTGGTAAATTGAAATTAATGAGGCAAAATATTAGTCGGCGCGGATTCTTCCAGTTTCCTCACTTGTCATAGATAGAATGTCTTGATGAGGATATTCAGACATACGCTCAACATTTAAATACCCTAGTACTTCAATATGTAAGAGCAGTTGTTGCAACCAGTATTAACACGATACGTAGAAAGTTTGAATGAGAAGAGTAACAAAGCAAATTTATGCCGCAGAAGTTAGTCACACAGCCACAGAGTCTGCTGGGGAAGCTTATGGACTAAATGTGCGATATATTGAAGATGAGAGACTTAAGGCCAGGTTGGACAAAAATATGGTACCTAATTGGGCCACGATATTGACGCTCGAGAATTCATACCTCTTGAATATATATGTAGGGAAAAAATATACACATATATGAAATAATTAAATTCTAATCGAATGGGTTTTAAAATACTTGATATTGATCAAGATGAAAAAAACCTAATCTAAGCGATAACCATATTTTTCGATTATATGAAAGGCATGATAAAGAGTTAAATTCCTAATTGGCTACATTTTTATATAGATCCTTTATTATCTAATAATAAACAAAAACGTTTAAGTATAAAGTAACTTTTTATTCAACGAATATCACACGCTTACTTCGTGGTGGACAAATATACATATGCAGCGGAGAGGAAAGCGTTAGAAGCAGTGGCGTAGCTATCTTGGGTGGCACCCGGGGCGGAAGTTGGTGGTGTCACCCCATTGAAAGTAAAAAGCAATAAATTTTATATGATAAAGGACACGGATCATTTATTATTTATAATATTGAAGAAATAACAAAATACAATAATAACTAAGACAGAAAAGGAATTGTTACATATACAATTAAAATTTCTTCT